TGGGCTCTCTGGATTTCCATAATAAAAAGTGACTTCCGTTGTAGATTGTCCCTTTAAAAACACTTTTTTCCTCGCGACATTTCTTCCGAAAATGTCCCTTTCAAAGACCTTTCGAACAGCTTCAATTTTTGAATCCTTTGAGCTCAATATTTTGCGTAAGGAGCATAATTTATGAATGCTTCTATGGACAAGCTTTTTTCCATTGGTCTTTTGCTCGATTTTCCTGAATTTTTTTACTTTTCATCATGTTGGTCAGTCATGATCATACAGAACTGTTCAATAATGGTCTGGATGGTCCTCAATCGATATTGTTCCCAAATACACTAGAGACAAACGAATTTGAGCTACATGCAAATGAAAGTAACCATGTGTTAGGTAATCTTGACAAAATTGGATATGCACGCTATGCAAGTTTTCCGAATGGAGTGGAAGGAACTATTTAAAGAGACACTTGTTAACATTTCAACACATCACATATATTTTACACTTTACACATTAACAACTACTTAGTATTTGTATCCGCCGTTTCCTGCCTGTCGCTGTCCAGCACTGGGAGGTATGTATTGGTTGCTTTGAGCTTGAGGGAGTTGAGCTTTTTGTTGGTAACCACCTGCAGGGCACATTGCCATTAAACACATAATTTAACTAATGAACCTTCAAGCAAATTACCTTGTTGTTGCTGGTAGTTGTTGATACCCTGAGGTTCTGGCCGGTACTGTCCATCATCGACGATTCCATTGGCTTCATCAGCCAGGTTCTGCTCAATGGCCTTTTGGATTTCTGCCGGTATGGGGGGAGCAGTAGGAATGTGCGACCCTTGAGGCTGATAACCGTTTTCATCAGCTTGGTAGCTGATCTGGATCTGTTCACCTTCAGGCGAGGTGTATGAGTAAGATCCCTGCGTTTGAGTACCAGTTCCTTCCTGCGCGCTTCCCTGCTGTTGAGCCTGAATTCCATTGCCAGTTTCAAAAGCGTACTGGTAGTTACCATCGCCTTCATTCTGATTGTCTAATCTTAAGATGGGAATGTCTGCGTTGGGGGATCTTTGGTACTCATCAGCGCCTCCTTTGCTGTATTGGTTTCCTGCTCCAGCATACCCTCCATCTGCCAAGAAAAATTAAATAAGGGATAGTTCAAATAGTGAAAATTCCAGCTACTACTTTGAGCGCCCTGTGTGTTGGGGGGTAGATATTGGCTGTCCAATCTACCGCAGGAGGCGAGCCCGAAGACGACGGTTAAGAGAGCGAACTGCAAAAACAACAGAATGTGAATTAATAAACCCGATCGAGCACATATTTTCGAATCCATGTGCCCACTGTCCCTACTATTCGCATCTGGCATGTGAATTAATTACACACAAAACATCATATAATTAATATTACTTAACTCTAACGTCTCGAACAATAAGAGTTTGCACCAACATCTAAAATTCACTTTCCATTAATTAGTCGGTTGCACTTTTCCTCATCATAATTGTATGAATTTTAATAAAGTCATTGATGCAATGCTCGCGTATTTATGTTTGTTGACCCAATAATTCACCTTTCATCACACTTAAGAAGTTTTGAAGAATTCCCATTGTTGCAGTTAAAAAGTGATGATTGAAACTGTTTGAATTAGTGCTAATGAGCTGAAAATCGGACTTGTTGAATGGATAATTGCAAAATTTCATGGTGATATTGAAGGTGTTCAAAAATCAGAAAATTACCGGATGGTAATTTGTACTTAATGAAACGTTGAAAATAGATTTTAATGCTCAAAAAGGACTTGCTTCTTAGTCCTTTTTGAGTTGCGCATTTAATTTACTATAATTTACCTATAAATAACTCTGGAACAGTTGCGCCCGTTAATCAAACAAGAATCAAATTGCCAAAAAGATGTGAATCAATTAAAGCTAAAGATGATAGAAAATAGAAATAGAAAGAAGTAGTGGCAATAGCACTCATTTTTAAGTTTTTGAAAATTTGATCGATTTTAAGGCACGAAAAATAATATTGCATAACAATGTTTCACATTTTATATGAAAATCTGATTTTTGACTCTTTGTGTGAATCGCCAGTCTTACTGTTAGCAACAAATTCACATTAATGTCGATCTATTTTATTGGATTAATGTAAAAAGAAGAATGACAATGAGTTTTTCATAGTTTGAGACACAATTAATTTTTTTGACTAAGTTGAAACTCTCTATTTACTAATGTTGATCAGAGAGTTTGATGATAGAAATTACTTCGAAAATTCTGTATAACTTAATACGGAAGAATTTACGCTCTTGAAGTGTGTTGGATAACAAGAGCAATATAGATAAGTTCTATATTGTTGAGGCGGATGCATTTTTTTACAAACTTCTTTTTGGGTATTTCGCCTCAAAATGAATTTTTATCTTATCTGAATAATAAACAACCAACAATTAAATTCACTATTGAAAAAGAACAAATTCACCAAATTCCTTTTCTCGATATACTAATTCAGAAAAATTTAGACAATGGTCTATAGAAAACCTACTCATACTAACCGATATTTGAATTTCGACTGAAAGCACCCGATAATGGTTAAAAAAGGTATCGTAAAAAGTCTATATGATGATATGATGCAAAAATAATTTGTAATCAATCTACTTTTTCCAAAGAAAAACAATTTAGAAAAGAAATTCAAAATTTGAATAATTATCCAAATTCTTTTATTGAAAAATGTTTTAACGAAATTGAATTCCCACGAACAAAACAAAATCAAAATAAACCTATTACGAAC